AAACTGATAACATGACCCCAGGACACTGCAAATGTCATAAATATGAACCAGTTGCCAAACATCCAAATGTAAATCATATGACCATAGGGATGCTGCCATGGTCATATATTTGTGAAAAACGGTCATGTCACTTTTTTTCAGTGCCTTTAAAAGGTCAAAGGATCACTAAGTGAACTGTTGTAAGTAGTGGACTACCTGTATATGTATGGGACGTTAGCATGGGATGCCATATTTGTTTTTTTTCATGATTTGCAGAATTGTTGTTTTTCCTATTTTGTGCACCTAGAGATGTTTCAATATGAGCACATTATAATAATGATATAGTACAATATATGAGAGCTGTAGTGGTGCTGTAGCCTCATGGTTGACTCAGCCTTCCATCCTTCTGATATTAATTATAAGTGAACTTTTCTAAGCTTGGCCCTTCTCATACTTCCTGAAAAAGTTTTTTAAGTTGTTATTTCTCAGCATAGTATTTTTTGAAAAAGCATTCTAATTTCCATGAAAAAATTATTTCATTATAATCAGATGGAACATTTCTAAAGCAGCTACAGATAATTAAATATGCCAAAACTGCAGACAAATTGCACTTTTCTCCAAAATGTTGTGATTTAATTAACATAGAACTGATTGATGTTCAGATTTATCATGATTTGCAAAGAACAGAATGCTAGTGCAGATATATTATGCACTAGTAAGAGGAGGCAAATCTGAATGAATGATTCCTAGAATTTTTTTTTTAAAGAGAAAGATAAACCAGTGTAACGATCTTGTTATTTCATGAGAATTTAATTACAAGCTTGGCCTTTTTTTTTTGCTTGCAATATCCTAGTGGGCCTATGACTAAAACGGGTTAAATCACACAATGAACTCTCAGTTGAAGTGACTTCAATCCAGATTTCTACCTATAGATGCTGTCTTTATATATTTCTACCTATAGATGCTGTCTTTATATATTTTGGAGCCCGCTAATGTAATTTTCAGCATTATTTATAAAGTTTGTATTTCCAAGAGATCCAGAGCAGAGAAATAAGAACAAAAGCCATACATTTTTGTACAATAAAAGTTTAATGACTTTTATAAAAATGTGCTATCTGGCACCAAGTAATGAATCCACAAATTATTAACATATTTACAAATAGGAAGCCAGTAAGATCAAACGAAAATATATTTATATATTTATATATATCTCTATATATAATATTTATATAGACAGAATAGGTATGCAAGTTAAAAAAAAACATCCATCCACTGGGCAGCTAGGAAAGAGGGTGGGGGAGGGGGGAATCTATCCATCCGTGTCCATACATTTCCGTCCTTTGTGTTAAAACACAAAACCCCGGGCAAGTTGTCCTTGCTGCTAGAGAAGATTAAATAGTGTAACCCTCTCTGGTATAATTTTTTTTGTATTATCTTTTCCCCCCCTTGTTTTCTTTTTACATATATGTACACAGGAAAAAAAATCCCATATAAAGAAAAAACGAGTAACAAAACATTAGTCTTTACAAGTTGGCAAGAGTCAAGGGAGAGAGAGAGGGAGAGAGAGAGAGAGAGAGAGGGAGGGAGAGAAGGAGAGGGAGAGAGAGAGAGGAAGATGCCAAAATCAGCAATTTATTAAAGCATATAGAATAATTTACACAGATTTCATTGCTTTATTAAAAATGTAAAACTATCTCATCCATCCAAGCAGGAGGTATGTGGCTTAATTGGATGCAGGAAATTACCACTGTACAGGTGATTGTGTAGGTCAGTTGAGACAATGTAGATTTTGGCAAGAAGGGAAACACACACTGGAACCAAAATATTTATTTTTCCCAATGAACAGGTGAGAGTAATGAAACTTCCCACAACTAATTTAAAAAGGCACATATGTAATTAAATGGGAGGCAAGTGGAAGATGACATTTCTTGAAAATATAATGGCTATTGCAGGTACATGATCCATCTAGAAAACTAGCCACCATGTGTAAATAAATTGAGCATCTGGAACACTCAGGCTTGGATATTTGCAGAGAAACAGTATGGATTATTATTACTTTTTTGTTTTTGCATGACTCAAGGACACAACCGGGCATCACTATTTAAAATTTTAAAAAAATAAACTAAAGCTGATGAAATATTGCAATAAAACCCACTGAGGAAGATTCTTTAGCATATTCTTACTGATGCAAAGTAAATAAATTTCCCCAGCTGTAATCCTCTGGCTAGCCTGGTAAGTTTTTACCTGCAAGTGTAAAATAAGGGGAGGCATATTCTTTAAAAAAGGTCACTCCCCTCCCTCAAAAAAAAAGAAAAAAAAGAAAACCCCATAGGAATTCAATATCCTTATGGTTCTTTGATAAAAAAGTTTCAGAGGAAAATATTTAACTCTGATAAAAAGCAGAAGTTTTATGTATCATAACAATTTGGTGCAATTTAGTCAGCTTTTTAAAAAAAGCTATCTAAATTTAGAAAAATTGTGCGGCAAAAATTTTTAAACCCTAAAGGAATGTATGTGAGGCAGCTTTTTTTGGAATTAGCAGAGTAACATTAAACTAATATTATCTTGCCAAAGTTTCAAGCAAAAGCTATCAACAAAGATGTCCAAAACAGACTGGGCCATCCATGGGTATTTATAACAAAACCCAAATGTCACTTTACACAGAGACTTGAAGGACAGGCTAGATGGAATGGGTGATTCCAACTATAATTGCTTTAATTCACAATTTAGTCATGTAGGTTACACATTTGTCCCCCCCCCTACAAGTGCATAGCCACCTGAGCAGAGGAAAATCACATTTGGAAAGTAAGGAATAAAAAAAGGGGAAATGGTTGGAATTGTTTCTAGGGTCAATTCTCATGGCCAGTCAGAAAGCAGTTGCAGAATCACCCAGACACAAACATCTGGAAGGATGTAGTTAAAACAAAACAACCAAGTCTGCTATTACAGGATGTGATATCAAAGTCAGCCCTCATAGGCAAACCAAGGCCTAGAGAAATTGGTAGTTTAGGACTGAGACAACTATGATGCTACGTATTTGTGTGAATGTTTACACTATTTCTCCACATTCATCCTTACTCTTTTCTCAGGTGATTTAGACTTTCCACTTCTCCAAACTAAAATGGGTGGCCGCAACTTCCTTGTTTTCAACATTTAAGAACATTGTAAGGGGGAAAATGCAGACAACAAAACCACATGACATGATAAGCAAAAGGTTATCCAGCTGAGTTTGTCAAGTCTGTGCAAGACTGTCACTGCAAATTCAAACTCTAGTCCCCCTGAAAATTTCCTTTGGTCAGCCTATAAAGCAAAACAATGGGTTTTCTCGCACTTCTTTAGCTAGTTAAGACTATTAGAAGAAAATTAAGATCCCAAACAATCTCTTCAGGATGGTGTAAACTATTTATCTAATGCATTCTGCGAAAGAAATACGTCTGAAAAATTTCAAAATGTAGAACTTTCTTCTCCAAGGGCCCAAACTGAGCAGGAGCAGACCTCCACCAAAATGAGATACCTTCAGCATAAAACACTGACCAGCATATAATGCAATGAGAAGATGCCATTTAACTACCTCCTTCATTAGACTTCAAATGTTGAAATAAACTTTAATTAAATCCATGTTCCCAACGTATTCATTAAACAATAACAATATGAGGAATGAGCCATTTTCAGGAAAAAGAAATAAAAGAGACACACTTAAACATTTGGTCTTCAGCTCCTACTCTCACTATCCCTAAACTGGTTCATTTCCAACAGGTTATTGGGGTGGGCAAAAAACAGTTGAAAAGGAAAGGCTATGGGTGTTGTTAGGTAATGCTTATCCCAGAAATGGGATTAACTGGTGACATCAACAGGAGACTGACTTCTATTCTATTCTGTTTTTTTCCTGAAGGCCAGGATAAGGAATCCCTCAACAGAACTGCCATCTTAGTGCAGCAGTTTAGAAACATACATTAAAAACAACCAGAATGTGATAGGACATAAGAAACAGTAAATCCTGCTAAAATAGCTTGATGTGCCTAAAGTCTTTTGTTTTAACTGACTCCCATGTATGTAGCTAATGAAATACGCATTGCTGACCTCTAATACCCCATTCATTTGCTTCACGATAAGGAAAAAGATGCATGTTGCATTTTAAAAAGAAAAGTGGCATGACGCAAATATAGATAAAAGCAGGAAAAGGCAATATAATGAAACGTTATTTACAGCTCTCTTTTCAGTATGAAGTGGACAACAAAAATAAAATATTTACATCGCAGTAAACATGTGTTTCTACAAGAAACAACCAATCCATCTGGACTAGATATATACACAATTTTCTTCTCCTAAGAAAAAAATATGGAAGGAAGGGGATTGGGGTAAGGTCTTAGCTTATGCTATGAGTCAGATTATTGCGGCCATAATTGTAGCAAAGAAATAGCTCCCTTAATTATGGGGTTTTGGATTTCCCCTCCTTTTTAATACCTATTGCAAGGCAGACACAACATAGGGAAAGGGAGGTTCAATCTGAATGCCACCATAAAATTACTTTTCAGAATCTTTGCTATTGTAACCTTAAGTGCGTGGTTGGAGAATAAAATGACAGATGGAATTAGGAATAAATCATCTTAAACCAGAAAAGTTTAAAATCTTTGCACATAGATATAGCTAAATGAAACTGGGAAGTCATAATCCCTGGATAATCTTGGCTATAAGGGTTCAGGGAAAACTTTGAATATCAGAACAAGTCCATTTAGGAAAGGATTTGCTTCCAGAACTGTTCTCATATACATCTCAATAAACCTATGTTTTATAAAAGAATCCAATGCTTTAAGAAACCTCAACTATAACATCTCAAGGATTCATCAACTCCTAACTACATGTACCATTATGCCCTTCAAGAACATCAAACACTGAATGGTCTCAAAATTCTTCATAGGTTTTTTTCTTGGACCCTGCAATTCCTATAGTTTTATTAACTGACCTCAACACGCTGAAGATCCTTAAATTGGAGGGAATAAATTTTGTTTAGCGTACCCTTCAGTGAACAGGAGACTCAAACTTTTTGCTAAATTTAAAAGCAGAACTGACTTGTAGGCAATTAAGATTAAAGCTGGTCTTCATCTAAGGAGGAAGAGGTGTTTAACTGCTATCTGTTTTGGAGTTGGATCAAAAATGACAGAAACACCAGTGTAAGTGAGAAGGATAGAACCATTTCTGATTGACTGGAAGAAAAGGAGATTTCTCACTGATTAGGAACCTGAGGAGAGGCAAATGGAAAACTTCTAAAAGATTCTAGGTGGGTCTTAAGGCGACTGAGAACTTTCCCACGGCAGCTCTGTGGGAAGAGATGCTGAACTACTGGTGAAAAATGGGGTGAACAAACAAAATAAATAGGAATGCCAGGCTTCTGTTTCAATTCAGGGTCCCCCGACAGTTCTCTGTGCCACATAAGCAGGGAATCTTGTTCTCCTCAATTGGGAACTTGTAGTCATATGTAATCTCCTCATTGATGCTGATGGGCTGCTTGGAGTAGATCACGATCTTCTTCTGGGACTCTATCGTGATGACTTTGGCATAGCAGTTGGGCTAGAGAAAGGAAAGACAGACCTGAGTGAAGAGTCCCTTAAAGAAAGCAGCAGGCCACCTCTTGCCAATGCCTTTCAAACTCCATCCTGCAGCTGCCATCGTATTAGAAAGGAAGGGGAACCCAAAAGCCATTTGGGACTGAAACAAACAGACGCTGGGAACAAGGGAAGTGGCAAGGGACATGTACCTTCTTGATTGATCAACATTCTACGAATGAGTTCACGAGGGCTCTTCCCTTTTCCCTTACGCCAGGGGGACCAAGACATTCCTTGATAGTTCCGATAGACAGCTAGAGTCCTGACCCTGGCAAGGCTTTAAATGCTATTAGGCAGAGAGCAAGAGACCACAGCAGGCTGCCCCATTCTAAGGAGGGCCAATATATTAAATGCTAAGTCTGTTGAAGGAATCTCTTCTCTTGTCTCCCTCCCGCTCCCCTCTCACTTGTGTGCATGCAGCCACGTGCCCATTCAAGGTGTTCTCTGTAAAGGCTAAACTTAGCACAGAATGGACACCAGCAAGAATCACAAGAAGGGGCCATCTCCACATAACTTACTGTGCAGCAATGATTGATGAAACGAGCAAGATTGCCACACTTGGTGGCATCAATGATTGTGTCATGGTCCACACGGAAAAGATAGCTGCTCCCGATACCTTCCTGAGCGTACCGCTTCTCACGCATATCAGCCACCATCTTTAAAAAAGAATGAGCACAGCAGAGACTCAGAATAGAAGTGAAATTCCCTCTCTTAGGGGAAAGGAAAGGAGGGGGGCAGCCATCAGACTGTGCAAACTGCAACTGCACAGTCTTCCAACTAGTCCTTTCCATGCTTTTATCCAGGTGGATGAAAATCAGCTGGCATTTATTCAATCCATTGTCTACACAAACTCTCAGCACTGAAAAAGCAGGGCTGTTCCATGCAGCCTTCACAGCACCATCTAGTGCCAATTAGCTGCAGGTGCCTCTCCCACAGACCAACACTAAAAGCCTTACATGAACACTCAGGTCAAGTTCCCCTCAATTTCATTACATTCTCCTGTTTCATTTACTCAAGCTGCTACACATTTTCACTATATATAAAAAAGCAACAATAGCTAATTTAAGGACAGCAAAAGACAGGCAAGGGAAGAGGTCATCTTCCAAATAGGATCCCAATAGTTCTCTTGATATATCACAATCAGAAGCGTCAGAGAAAAAAAGAATCTAACTATGGCATTATCTGTCTTGGAAACCATTCAAACTTTATATTTTATTTTTTAAAGGGCTCATATATAGGAAAAGACCAGAGACTTCCTTAATTTTATCAGGTTTACCATTCACTTGAAGCTTGAAAAAAATGAAAGCTATGATTGAGGCTGGAAGCACGATTTGGACTACTCCATGGATAGGAAATCTGAATCAACCCACAAACCCATAAGTACCAACACTCAGCAGCAAATTGTTGAATGTTGACAATCTGATTTTTCATAGTAAAAACTGAATTAATATGCCCATAACTTTTAAATAAGCTAAGCACATCTAAAATTCAAGCAATAACCAGAAAATGAACATTAACAAAAGTAGGAACTTTAAAAATATGAGGATTAAATCAATTAAATTAAATTAATTCAAGCAATAACCAGAAAATGAACATTAACAAAAGTAGGAATTTTAAAAACATGAGGATTAAATCACGAAAAACTCTACTTTGCATATCATTGCCAGTTTTCTACTACCCAACTGGACCAAAAAAGAAAAAGCATCTATTTGCTAAACTTTTAGTAATGGCTATCACCTGCTAATGAGAAAATACAATGAAAAACCAGAAAAAAAGCATAAATAAAATTTACAGAAACTAAAAGTATGCCTATAGAATGTTGATATAGGACTAGCATATATTATTAAATCTAACCATATTAATCATCTAGTATTCTATCTTCTAGGTTTCAGTAAAATGTGTTATTTTAATTCTGTGATTTTTATATAATAGGTTCTTAATATTCTCTTTATTAAAAGCAGATCAGAGAAAACAAAATAAACAGAATATGGATATCCTATCAATATTAATTACAGATGTTAATGTCCCAAACATTACAACTGTTTTTCTTCAAAATTAAATAAAATCAACATATTAAAAAACAGCACACGTTAAATTACAATAATAGTTTTGGTCTTAAGGTGAATTACTTGTTATTAAAAATCTCCATCATCTGGCAGGACTGATGAAAGTATTAAAAAGCAGTAGTAGTATTACCTTATAGAGCTCAGTTTGCTTTTGCTTGCTTACCTGGCGGATGTTCTGCCCCACATATTCAATGACCATTTCATCGGCAGCAATAGGCTCCATTGCAAACAGGCCCCACTCATGAATTCGACTCCGTCCAAACCGGAGTTTCTTTTTTCGGAACTGTAAGGAAATATAAGGAAGAGGGAAACCCCAGCAATGGAGTGTAAGTTCTTTATTCTGTAGCTGAGAGAAACAGCCTTGTGTACACACACAAAAAAAACCAGAAAGTCCTGTTGCCTCTTGAAAAAGCACCTTTGGGACAACCATGACTTGGACAACTGAGATTTTCCACAGGAGTCTTTATGGTTTTATTGTTTTTTTAAAAACATAGGATGATCAGTCCTCAAACTTCTGAAGAGAAGTTGCACAAAAACCAAAATGCGTCTTAATTTTTGGCCAATTATAAAATAAAATATCTAAAATAAATGAAAAGGGAAAAAGGAGTTATTTAATTTACAGTACTATTACTGTTCATCTATTTAAATTAAAAAATGCTTTAATATATTCTAGGCTCCCAACCCTACCTGACATCTTCTCTTCTATTCCCACCCCTCCAATTTGCTTAATAAAATCGCTTTGGTACCTTCAGCTGATTAAGTTTCAGAAGGTCACTGTCAAGGATGGCAGAGGTGCCGATGGCACTCAGCAGACGCCTTTGCTCAGATCGTCGTTCTGACAAGATGCGGTTGGTGCCCTGGGAAGGCATAACAAGCTTGTTAGAAATAATGAATGTAAAGGAAGCAGTCAGGAAAAAAAATCTCATTATTTGAATTATGGATGTATCCATCCTTGCAAGATGACAATGCCTTAAGGTGGACAGTGTTTCTTAATCCTGACAACTTTAAGTGGTGTGAACTTTAACTCCCAGAATTCCCCAGAGCATCTATATGTTTAATTCTGGGAGCTGAAGTCCATGTCACTTAAACTTGTCAAGGTTGAGAAATACTGGTCTATGGCAGCAAAAATGATACTAGAATTTCTCACATATACTAAAATAAACTTACAAATTAACGATCAATTTGCATACTATACTGCCAACAGTTACAGCTTTTCAAAAAGTCTCCCATGGCGAGAGTGCCTTAGGAGATACATATACTTTCTAAATTTTGCAATTTGAACATTATTTTCCATAATGCAGTAAGGTTTAACTCATATACATTGACAATCTATAGGCCTATAAAATGATAACTTATATGTCAATAAATAAATCTAAATACTTAAAAATCTATAAATAGAAAACCTGAATATCATAAATGAACAATAACTAGTTCTAAATCATGGTATGGCTAACATATGCATATTCCATTACATAAAATAACATTAACAGGTTGTTCCTTCTATAGTTACCAGATTAATTGGTTGGAGCAATGATAGGACATAAAATGAGAGCACACTCAACATTTCCACTTCACATAAATTGCACTTATGCATTGTTTTCCAATTCTTCTGTTTTCTGCTATTTCATTTTCAGTTTTAAAAATAGTTCCAATTTTCATTAATAAAGGAAAACGATTAACAATTTTAAGCAATGTCTTGTGAATCCTAAGAACATTGAAGAATTGCTGAGAAACAGTCCCAGATTGCTGGTAGTGGATCTTCAGCATCTTAATCTTAATACCTCACTTGTCAATGATTGCAAAATGTAGCAGTAGAAAATTTAACACGGATTAAGAAAAATCCAGTTAAAGCATGAAGCTGAAAATAATTGTGAGACTTCTCTCCTACAAGGTTTAAGAATTATCGTGGTGCAGAATTTTTCACTGTGGTTTATAGCCAGTCCTAATCTTTATAATATGTGAGGATCTACCGATACCTATGCTCACTGTGTTTCAATGGTTCCATCAGTAATTTCTGGAATCGATGCTGCATAAAACATACTAAACACATGAGCACATCACAAGAACAGGGCCAAACCTGGGTATCAGTGGTGTCCAACTGTTGCACTGTGACTGGGCACATGTCAAGGTATTTGTCCTTCTCCTTCTTACTGATGTGGTAATAGCCCTCACTACGAGCACAACCTGTTTGATGTTCCCGCAGGTCAGACAATTTCCTCTTCCGTTTGGGATTTGCAATATTTGTGAGTGGAGGCAGGACAGTCAAGGAGAAATATCATATAGTGCTGATGATGATACCTTGTTAGGAAATGGAATGTCTACAAGCAAACAATCAATTAGCAACCACAATTGGGACAGACCACTTGGTTAAGTGAAGCAGTCAAAGTGAAACTGTAACTGTGCTTGTGACATTACTTCAGCTGATCCTTTGCTTTACAAACCCGTGAAGGTTTTAAATACAAGGATTAGTCATAAAGTTACTTTTTCATCACAGTCATAACTGAAAACAGTCACTAATTCAGACAGCTGCTAAATAAAGACTATGTGTATCTTTTGCAATTAGAGCATCAAGAACTCCAGAGTTCAACCCTGAACTACATATATTCTCATCTAGTGGAAGACAAATATGAGCAGGAAGTATTGCCACAAAGATGGACAGTTTCTAAATTTGTCTACTCCAGAACTACAACTCTCCTTCTTTAAAGGCCTTGGGCCAACAGGAAGGAGAAAACAGCCATTTTTTCCCTCCAGAATTTATATCTTTATATGTAAATAATCACAAAAAGTCCCCCCCCATTCTGCATCTGCACCTTACTGTTCTTAAATCTAATTAGGCAGCATTAAAACTGAATATACAAATTGAAATATTGGAATCTTTGATTTTAAAGAGTTTTTAAAACATAGGCAAGACCCCATTAGCAACCACAATTGGGACTGACCACTTGGTTAAGTGAAGCAGTCAAAGTGAAACTGTAACTGTGCTTGTGATATTACTTCAGCTGATCCTTTGCTTTACAAACCCGCGAAGGTTTTAAATACAAGGATTAGTCATAGTTACTTTTTCATCACAGTCATAACTGAAAACAGTCACTAATTCAGACAGCTGCTAAATAAAGACTATGTGTATCTTTTGCAATTTGTTTTAACTACCTAAAAGTCTAGTACAGTAGGAAGAAGTAATCCGTTTCAATATTTGTCATAAAGCACAATCCAGTCACCAACTGCAATTTGGTAAAAAACAACAGGAGACTGAATGTATGTGGAGATTCTCAATCATTCAGGTCCTAGTTGCCTCAAGGGTGCTTTTTCAAAAGCCAAATGGAATGTTGTTGTTTTTCCTTTGAGGAAGTAGTTTCACTTATCATTCTAGAAGCTTCATCAGTTTTGGCAGGATGGTGGGGGTAATGAAAGGATGGATGGATGGATTCCTTCCATGGCCTCAACCATCCTGACAAAACTGATGAAGCTTCTTGGATAAGAAACGAAACATCTTCCTCCTCCTCAAAGAAAAAACAGTCTAGTTGCCTTTTGAAAAAGCACCTTTGAGAGGAGACTGAATAGCAGCTCTGGAGGAGACATAGTATCATTGCACTTAAAATATAATCTTATACACCAAAGGTTCTGTTGTTTTGAAATATAAATGTTTTTATGCTATGTACTCCACGTTTGATAGAATTCCATTAAGTTTGCCCAATGAAGTCTAATAGTTGGAATATGAAATTACTGTATTATTTTTTGCCCCATAAGACGCTCCAGACTATAAGACGTACATTAGATTTAGAGGAGGAAAACAAGAAAAAAAAATCTGCCCCTGCCTCCTAGCATCCATCGGTATTCATCTGGCTAGCGTCCTTGCAGCAAACAGCAGATAGCCTGGTCAGCTTCAGCATGTTATCGCAGCCTGATTCAGCAGCTGATTGGCAGGTGGATAGGCCTTCAGAATACTGCCGATCAGCTGTTCCAGGTGATGGGGATTGCTGCCGCCGCTTATCACTACCAAATGGGCTGAAAATGGGATACGCGGAGGCCAAAAACAAGGCATGCGGAGGCTGAAAATGGGGCAAGCAGAGCCGGAAATGGCCGAAGGGTGGGGGCCAATGGGTGGGTTCAGCAATATTTACTCCATAAGACACACAGACATTTCCAGCCGCTTTTGAGAGACAAAAAAGTACATCTTATGGAGCAAAAAATACGGTAACTCTTTTCCTATTTTCTTTAGATAAAATAGATAATACAGTAAGAAAGATGGAAAGGCCTAGATCACGCTGACTTTTCGTGACATTTTTTCTCTTCAGAGAACTGGGGTGGGCACAGCCTGTACATAACGCATTTGGCCCATGCATCTCCAGTTTGGCATTTCTGCCCTAGATGTATTGACACTACAGATTCCATTTTGGTTAACAGCCATTCCTTCTACCTAGAGAATTGCAGATCTTTGAAGGAAAGGAGGGAAGAGGACTAGAATGTGCAAAAGAGGATTCCCAGAAGAATTCAATAAAATATAATACTCAGAAATCTCCGCTGATAGTATAATAAAAGAATGTTAAAATGGGATAGAGCTGTCGAGATGCTGAACTACAATTCCCAACCTGGTCTGTGCTGTAAGAACACTGACAACTGTAGCACAGAGGTACTCGGAAAGCCACAGGTTTGCTATCCTTTCAATACAAGTTCATGAGAGCCACATCCTACCCACAAATTTAACACATATTTCAGGAAGGATATTGGTGTGCTGGACCCAATGGGTGTCATTCAGCCAGTCTGTGCTATTGTCCTCATGCAACAAACGCTCATACATCAGTCTCAAGTATTTCATATCTTCGAAATCTAGCCCTGAATTCCAGATGTCATACAAGATTGTCATCTGTTCAAATTCACTGCGTGTCTCAAAGACTGGGGGCTGGGTAGGGGTGTGCTTATGTGAATGAGAGCGCAGAGATCTCCTACGAATCTCCCCTTCATCACTGCTATCAAGGCTCTCATCATCTTCTTCCTCTTCCTCTTCCTCCTCCTCCTCACTCTCAGAAGGGAACAGACTCTCTGGGACAAAAGGTAATGCTCCTATATCCTTTACCACCTCCTCCTTTAGGCCGTGTGGAGGTTTCTTCATCTGTGGCTGCTGCTGGTCTGGGACAGCAGGTATCTTAGGCTTTTCGAGGGGTTGGGGAGGTGGGGGCGCCAGTGCTACAAGATCGCCCACTTCAGATTCAGTTCTGACTTCACTGGCATCTGCCACTATCTCCTCCGGAGCCTCCAGAACCTCACCAATGTGCTCATTAAATACTTCCATCTGCAACAGGTCAGCAGAACCAAGTAGTGCTGCCTCATCGTGTTTCCGGGAGACAGTTACTGGTTTTGCACGCACTGCCATGGTATAGTTATGCTCCATGAAGATGCTGCTGACTTCAAGGGATAACACGGGTGGAAGAAGCAGACGCTTCGGCTCCTGAGATTCATCCAAGGTCTCCTCCAAATCTTCTCTACCTGCAACGGTGGGCATCTTGAGAGCCACATCAGCCAGTACGGCCAGGTCAGGCTGATTGGCCAGCTCCAGTAGTGAGGAAGCTCCCATCTGCTCACGCATATGCAGTCTATCTTCCTCTGGGGGTTGTGGTATCCTCAAATGTTCTGAGTTTCGGGAGCGAGAACGGTTTCGGGAGCGACCAGTTGGCATATCCTCTGACCAACACTTCACAAGAGAAGCGTGGTCTGCTGGCAGGTTGCTGATTGTCCTTTGACTTGCTTTTGGCGGCTCCCGCCTGCGGCTGGGAGGAGCCACTAGCTTTACCGGGGAGGCTGGGGGAGGCAAGGAGCAAGTAACTGGAACAGGGGTATCTGAAGTTAAGGACACTTGGGGTGGTAGCATGGGTTCCACAGGAACTAACGGAGATTGTGCTTCCTCTATGGGGACAGGAGGAGGAGGTGGGGGCAGTGGGGCTAGGAGACCCAAAGGTGCCAATTCCAGTGGCTTCTCCAAGGTCCCTTCATCCTCACCAGGAGCTGAGAAGGACACTGTTTTCCGGCGTTTCTTGGGTGGTGGCAGAAGTGGAATGGGTGAGGAAGATCGTTCTTGTCGTGTTCGCTCTTCTGGGGCTATCCAGACACCTTTCTCCTCTATTGCTGGGACTAGGAAAGTATCATTCTGAGGTAAAGCAGGCTTCTCCTCAACAACATGGCCTATATGAGAGAGATAAAGTTTACGTTAGTGATTTAAGGAGTCCTTTCAGGGCTAAGTATAATAAAGATATAAAAGATGTTCTTATTTTCATCAATGAAGGGACAAAAAAAGTCTTTGTCTACGGATTCTTGATTTGGTCTATTTATTTAAATGGAAATTTTAATATTAGACTGCTAACATTTGTAGCTTAGCATTAAAGAAGCAGGACAGGAAGAGTCTTGATACTTTTGAATCGGTATCTGTCAGCCCTGCTGGGTAAACTAGAGAGACAACACAACTAGAGGAACTAAATCTACCTTATCGAAAGGCTATATTAAGACAATTTTGCATGTCTGAATGTAGCAAACTTCTTGGTGTCACTTTTAGCTGCTTGATTTATGAGAGCGGGCCTTTTCTAAGATTCCCAGGGCTCCTCCCTCTCTTGTCTGATTGCTTCCCAGGGCGCATCTCTTCCCCCCTTCCCCCATATTCCATTAATGTTGCAGAATGCCCCAGGTAGTCAAGGAAACAACCAAATGAACCCTCTAACAAAGAAATCTGAGGCACAATGACTAGTTCCAAATTATCCAAGATAATCCAAATGACCAAGATTTTTTCCCCTTAAATATGATTTTTAGATTGCAGTGACCTACACTTATCCCTGTTTAGCAATCATAGCTTCTCTTGGGGAAGGCTTGAATGCAAAATGATACCAGTACCATAATGGGAGGTGTACAACATTCCATCAATTCAAAGCTGTTTGGAGGTCAAACACTTCTAACACGGTTAAAATAGGGAAATAGAGGACACTGACATTCCCTAAACTCCGCTGCTACCTAGCCTGGTAACGAAACGTTCAGAAACCAACCCATAAGCTCACAGAACGAACCTTCATCCTCATGGTTAAATAACTTGTTTCACAGTCAAAGCAGCTAGTTTGCACACACAAATTAGCCATTCTGAGAATGACCATTTGGTATTTCAAATACAGATAGTCTTTGACTTATGATCACAACTGATCCCAAAATTTATGTCGCTAAGAATTTGTTATTTGAGTTTTCCTCCATTCTACAACCTTTCTTGCCACAGTTGTTAAATGAATCACTGCAGTTTTTAAATTAGTAACACGGTTATTAAGTGAATCTGGCTTCCCCATTGAGTTTGCTTGTCAGAAGGTCCCAAAAGGGGATTACATGGCCCTAGGACACTGCAACCATCATAAATATGAATCAGCTGCCAATCTGAATTTTGATCACACGAGAATGGGGATGCTACAATGGTCGTAAGTATGAAAAACAGTCTTAAGCCACTTTTTTGAGCGACATTGTAACTTTAGTCACTAAACGAACTACTGTTAGTCTAGGACTATCTGTGTGAAACTTTCCACATTTCATTTGGAATGTTTTGCATTTCCCTTAATATCATTATGTCCAAGCAAAATGAACTCTTCTCCCTATTCCTACTCATGATAATTTATTATTAATTAGGCTGATTTGTAATCTACCATTTGCGTGGCCAGATTCTATTATGGCCTGTTAAAAGAACCCTAGGCTGTGAGGGCTCCAGGTACAACAATAGTGATGGTTAGGTGGAAAAGAGACAGGAGAAAAATAGATGCCACATGATTTGGTGATCAATTGAAGATGGAAAGACAGATGTGAAAGCTCATACAAAGAGGCCAGAGTTAAAATGGGTCAATCTTGGACATATCCATTCTGAGGCAGTATCAGAAGAACATTTGGAAATGTCTGGTACAGAAAGAGGGGGCTGAGCGTTATCAGCAGAAAATTGGCACCAAAAACCATAATACAGAATTAAGTCATCTAGGAACAGCATACATGTGTACAAAGCCCTGAGGTTATTCTTGAATTAATAGCTGCAAACAGGGCAAATTACTCCTAGCTTCAAAGCACAGAAATCATGATAAGATGCAGCTGCTGTCCTCCCCATCACTCTGGAAAGATCAGTCGGCTTTTCCTAGGGAAATCCAGAGCGTAGCATCTTACCTTGAAGGAGAGCTGCTTCTGACTTCTTGCCCATCTCAATGTCTGTTGCTGGCCATATTCTCTCTTCCGTGCGTCCCAATGACTCCAGTGGAGTGGCAGAGCCATCTATTTCCTCCATGCTCTCAACCTCTTCCTCATCAGATGACGATGATGATGATGATGACAAGGAAGAGGAGGAAGAGGAGCTGCTTTCGGAATCAGAAGTGCTGTCGCTGTCATCATCAGACTCCTCATAAGGTGAATATTTGGACGAACCATCGCTATCACGATCTGGATCAAGGATAAAGTACAACAAAATAATAATTCCAAGATTTTCCACATGTTGCACGAGGACAGGTCCAGAATTTAGCCTTTTCAGGATTCCATTGATATTATTATTGTTTCAAACGAGAACAATACATTTCAATGTGAAGTGAACTGAAGAAACAAGACGGCTGGATTTTAGACACTTCTATAATTCTTTGTCCTTCCTTCTGGACTGAAAAACATCTGCAAAGTATTTTCTTTTATACACTTATGGGAAAATAAATAAGGACCAAACCGAATACTTTACTCCGAGTTTAGTTTGCAGTGAGTAGCACATGGATATACACTGCTCAAAAAAATAAAGAGAACACTTAAACAACACAATGTAACTCCAAGTCAATCACACTTCTGTGAAATCAAACTGTCCACTTAGGTAGCAACACTGACTGACAATCAGTTTCACATGCTGTTGTGCAAATGGAATAGACAACAGGTGGAAAGCATAGGCAGTTAGCAAGACATCCCCAATAAAGGAGTGGTTCTGCAGGTGGTGACCACAGAACACTTCTCAGTTCCTATGCTTTCTGGCTGATGGTTTGGTCACTTTTGAATGCTGGCGGTGCTTTCACTCTAGTGGTAGCATGAGACGGAGTCTACAACCCACACAAGTGGCTCAGGTAGCACAGTTCATCCAGGATGGCACATCAATGGGAGCTGTGGCAAGAAGGTTTGCTGTGTCTGTCAGCGTAGTGTCCAGAGCATTGTCCAGACACCAGGAGACAGGCCAGTACATCAGGAGACGTGGAGGAGGCTGTAGGAGGGCAACAACCCAGGATCAGGACTGCTACCTCCGCCTTTGTGCAAGGAGGGACAGGAGGAGCACTGCCAGAGCCCTGCAAAATGACCTCCAGCGGGCCACAAATGTTCATGTGGCTGCTCAAATGGTCAGAAACAGACTCCCTGAGGTTGGTATGAGGGCCCGATGTCCACAGGTGGGGGTTGTGCTTACAGCCCAACACTGTGCAGGATGTTTGGCATTTGCCAGAGAACACCAAGATTGGCAAATTCTTCACTGGTGCCCTGTGCTCTTCACAGATGAAAGCAGGTTCACACTGAGCACATGTGACAGATGTGACAGGGTCTGGAGATGCCGTGGAGAAAGTTCTGCTGCCTGCAACATCCTCCAGCATGACCGGTTTGTCAGTGGGTCAGTAATGGTGTGGGGTGGCATTTCTTTAGGGGGCCACACAGCCCTCCATGTGCTCGCCAGAGGTAGCCTGACTGCCATTAGGTACCGAGATGAGATCCTCAGACCCCTTGTGAGAGCATATGCTGGTGTGGTCGGCCCTAGGTTCCTCCTAATGGAAAACAATGCTAGACCTCATGTGGCTGGAGTGTGTCAGCAGTTCCTGCAAGACGAAGGCATTGATGCTATGGACTGGCCCGCCCATTCCCCAGACCTGAATCCAATTGAGCACATCTGGGACATCATGTCTCACTCCATCCACCAACGCCAGGTTGCACCACAGGCTGTCCAGGAGTTGGGGGGATGCTTTAATCCAGGTGTGGGAGGAGATCCCTCAGGAGACCATCTGCCACCTCATCAGGAAAATGCCCAGGCGTTGTAAGGAGGTCATACAGGCACGTGGAGGCCACACACGCTACTGAGCCTCATTTTGACTTGTTTTAAGGACATTATATCAAAGTTGGATCAGCCTGTAGTGATTTTTTCCACTTTAATTTTGGGTGTAACTCCAAATCCAGACCTCCATGGGTTGCTAAATTTGATTTCCATTGATAATTTTTGTGTGATTTTGTTGTCAGCACATTCAACTATGTAATGAACAAAGCATTTAATAAGAATATTTCATTCATTCAGATCTAGGATGTCTTATTTTTGTGTTCCCTTTATTTTTTTGAGCAGTGTATTAGTAATACTGCAACTGTTCTGCTTACCTATGGATTAGAGAAATGCTCTGAAAATTATATGAACGGAGGGAGATAATCTTGGGAGTGGTGGAGGTAGTGAGAGCACATATGGAAGAAATGAATTCATTAAAAGAGGTATAAAACACATTGCTAAGAATTTGAAATTATTTGTTTGAATAATTTACCGGGCTATCCACTGCAGCTCTCCAGATAGCATATAATAAACCAAAAAACAAACAAAAACAACCCCCAAAACAAAACAAACAGTTTGAATTTAAACCCAGCTTTAATTTCCACAGGTATCAAAAAACTGGTATTACAATTACATGATGATATAGATAATGGCATGTCACCATGTATACCAGCTAATGAGGTCTCTCATCAATCAATTATTAACTGAAAAATACCTTCAGATTGTTCCCTCTTTCTGCTGTGTCCTCCGGCACCTTGTTCATCTTCACGGCGCTCTTCCTCTTCCTCCTAGGAAGACAGTGACATAAAGTTCTCAAGCCCAAAGTCTGGCTAGAATTCCCAAATCACAGAGCAGTAGTTTTATCTCAAAGACATTTAAGGCTTGCAGAATTATTCTGAATTCTACAGGGGAACCATTTCCTTTGGGAGGTTTTTTTGGAGAAACATGACAAGAAAAGAAAGAATTTAAGGTTCTTCTGGGAATCAACATGCTATCTGACCAAGCACCCAAGGATAACTCAGGATCTAGAGGTCAGTAGGCCTTCTGTAACCAATACATATTCAAACTGTTTCCAAGTTAATTTGTGGTGGGAACCAACTTTAACATGGATGATCCACAAATATCAAGAGTACATAAGCATAATGCTGGCAGGAACAGCTAAAACAATGTTAGTTTCCTCTCACCTTCTCTGAGGAGGAGTCCTCAGATGCCTCCTCTCCTTCACTGTCCAGACAAAAAAGTTTTTGCCGCTTTCCTGGACCTTTGATCCTATCATCGTCCCTCTTGGAGGTTTTGGGTATTTGTAAGGATTTTTTATCTGCAAAGTGGTAAAGAGGGAAAATGAAGAAAATAGCAAGAGACACCAAGGAACTTCATCTCCCTTTCCTGCTGCAGTGACGTAGACTGAGCCTCTCCCAAGACAATGGGACCAATGAAGAAGAAAAGCAACATTAGCATTCTCAAAGGGGTGGTATCTTCTAAACCTCCCTGGGCAGCCCATTTCCATCACAGCTGGCTAAATCTGTTCCATTTTTCTTTTTTTACTAGTTCTCTGTCAAACCTACTCAGACTATAAACCAGAGAGCAGGGACAGACTGGTTTTTATTCAGATCATGGGAACGTTCCTGGCTAAAGCAAAGGATACCTATGCTTTGAATTTTTTTTTAAAAAAGTCATCCTCTCGCCGATTATAAAAGGCTAAAGAGTATAAATAACAACCTGGAGGTGAGGCTACGTACCTTCCGCATCCTCTTCGGCAGGAGTAGAAGGGCAGGGCTGCTTCACTTCGCTGCACTCTGAGATTTCAGAGGGTTCTTTCCTTTTCACCTGTGGCAAAAGTAAACAATGGGTTTCCTGAGTAGAGCACCATTTTTCAGATGGCAAACAAACTAAATCATTTGCCCCTGAAGAAATATGAGTCCCACTCTGTACAGCTTCCTGAACAGGCCCCCAGCCCCAGAGGATACCCTGGCCTTTAGTATAGAATAGAACAACAGAGTTGGAAGGACACTGAAGGACTTCTTGTCCAACCCGCTGCGTTGGCAGGAAACCCTATACCATTTCAGACAAATGGTTATTCAATCTCTTCTTAAAATCTTCCAGTGTTGGAGCATTCACAACTTCTGGAGGCAAGTTGTTCCACTGATTAATTGTTCTCTCAGGAAATTTCTTCTTAGTTCTAGTTGTTTATCTCTTTGATTAGTTTCCACCCATTGCTTCTTGTCCTGCCCTCAGGTGCTCTGAAAATTGCTTGACTCCCTCTTCTTTGTGGCAGCCCCTGAGATATTGGAACCCTGTTATCATGTCACCCCTTTCATTAAGCTTGACATATCCAATTCCAGCAACCGTTCTTTATGTTTTAGCCTCCAATCCCCTGATCATCTTTGCTGCTCTTCTCTCCACTCTTTCTAGAGTTTCAACATCTTTTTTACATCGTGGAAACCAAAACTGTATTCCAAGTGGGGCCTTATCAAGGCATTATAAAGTGGGATTAAAACACTTCACGTGATCTTGACTCTCTCCCTGTTTATGCAGCCTAGAACTGTGTTGCCTTTTTTGGCTGCTGCAGCACACTGCTGGCTCATATTTAAATGAATGTCCACAAGGACTCCAAGATCTCACTCACAGTTACTATTATTGAGCAAGCTAGCAAATATACTTTATCTGGGCATTTTGTTTTTCTTGCCTAAATGTAGAATCTTACTTTTTTCATCATTGAATTTCATTTTGTTAGATAGTGCCCAATGTTCAAGTCTGTCAAGATCCTTCTGTATCTTAAGCCTTACCTTGAAGGAGGGGAGCCTGAGGACTCCTCGAAAGCCAGTCCCAAAGCCAAAGCCCTCCAGGCCACCAGTCCCACCACTCTTGGCCCAGTCCACTAGAGACAGAAGGGCGGGATCTTTCAGTTTGGTTTTGTCCTTCTCCTCTTCTTTGACTAGCTGTTTAACAGTGTTCTGGAAAGGCTAAAGACAAGAAGATTGCAGCATTGATTATGGAAAAATTACGGGCATGCTGGAAGAAAGTAGCATTCTAGAAGAAAGCAGGGTATAAAATAGAAGAGTCTAAAGTAGTAAGCTGGCCTATAGAACTACAATCTGAGAACTATTTTATTAATCTCAGAGTTTATGAAAGGATCACTTCTTATAAAGGTTGCCAACCTATATACCTGGGTACTATTGTCTTTCTCTCGCTTTCTCTCTCTCTCTGGCCCAATATTACTAAACTACTCAAATAGACAATACAGGTAGTTCTCAACTTACGACCACAATTGAGCCCAAAATGTATGTTGTTACATGAGAAATATGCTAAGTCACTTTGCTCCATTTTATGACTTTTCTCACCACATTTGTTAAGTGAATCACTTTAGTTCTTAAATTAGTAACACAGCTGTTAAGTGATCCTGGCTTCCCCATTGACTTTGCTTGTCAGAATATCACAAACGGGGATCACGTGACTCTGGGACCTTGCAACCATCACTGCTGTAAGTTGAGAATTACCTGTACAGAGATAACCTATCTCCCATTTCCTTCCAATCTGCCTCAGGTGGGTGGTAACCCATCCCTTCCATTCCCCTGCCGCAAAATCACCTTGGCCTTTTCCTCTTTGCACTCCCACCACTTGTCAAAGGTGCTGAAAGCCACATTCTCCACCATCTTGCGATTGAGGTCTCGCTGCATGATGTTCTTCATCTCCTGCATGAGGGTTGCAAGGACACTGTCCACTACACAGGCGTGTGGATCTTCAGGAAGCGGTGGGAGCGGAGCCACCTCTTCCTGATATCCCCATGGAGCTGTCCGGAAATCAAGATGCCTCTGTGGAGGGGGCAGAGGCGGCTGCTCCGAGGAATGTTGCTGCTGCTGCTGCTGCTCTGAGGTTCCAACTGCTGATGGCTGTTGCATGAAAAGCTGGTCTCGCTGGAAGTGGTGAGTGCCCTGCTCCAATAAGTACCCGGCACCATACAGAGGACGACCACAAAAGGAAGCTGCGTCTTGGTGGTAGGAGAAAGGGTCCTCGTACTGGCCTTTGCTTTGACGCAGCTGCTGAAGGCGGCTAAGCATCTGGGTTTGCATCTGGAAAGACATGGGCATCCCACCCCACTGGTTGCCAAGCCTGTTCATGAGCTCCATGGAGTTGACAAAGTCATAGATGTGGGGAGCACCACGGCCTCCACCCACCACATTTGCTCGTCCTCTGAAATCGGACAGGCGATGACCGAGACGGGGACCGACTTGGCCAAAATTAGGGAGTGAATGGGTTTTACCCGCCAGATGAGGGAGGGAGACGGACATGAGAGGCTGGATTGGATAAGAGGGCGGTGGTTCTGGATGATGGTGGGAAGTAAAGGAGGACACCCCCAATTGCATGTGGCCCAGAACTGATGGCATCACAGAAAAATGAGGGTCGGACACCCCTGCCACAGGAGTTGCAGGCTCAACTTCGGCTTCATCTTCAGAAATTTCCATGTCTTCACCTGAAGACTGCTGAGATGCCTGATTAAGAATAGGAAAGAGAACAGCAAAGAAAGTGGTAGAGTGAATGATTTAGGCAGATAATCTATTCGCCCGAAGGCAGTCCAATCAACACTCACTTGCAGCTTGCAAAATATGAGTTCCAACATTCCTGCATTCTCCTCACCTGCCCAATCTAATAAAGCTACGAATATTCTCAGATTAAAAATCAAGAAAAACGGCCAGATCTGCCAAACTTTAAATGCTTGATTATAGAAAGGTTACTAGCCTGATTTCTAGTTCTAAACATTGCCTGGTTAAGTAAACCAATTGATTATCTGCAAGATCAACAAAATCACCATCTGATAAGCATGCAAATTAAGCTGACATACTATTAAAATGATTCACATTATATGCACTTAAAATTGCAAAGGTTTTAGTGCATACAGACAGGGAAAAGGGACACCTATGCATATTATGATCTAGCAGGCTTGTGTTCAAAATTGCAGAATAAAACTGCTCTCTGGCTGCTTCATTTTATTGTCCTAATATTCTTTAGGCACTAAACATGCTATTTTTTCAGGCCCATTTAGGGGTTTTACCTTAAATCCTTTAAAAAAACAACAACAATAACACTTGTACTTTAGCAAGCTTCCTTAGACATCAGCCCTGAAACATTCTTCTGCCTCAGAAGGTTGCTTGTTCAGAGACTGCCAACAGAGAACCCATTCACATCAATTCTATTAAAACAAAACAAAAAAAGCAGATTCCAAACCCTGAAAACCTACTCTGTCTTGCCCATTAGCCTTTGGGGATTCGTCTCCTGCTGCCTCATCCATGGCTGGCACCACATCTTCAAAGCTGACTGGAAGAGGTGGTGGTGGGGTGCAAGGGCCATGTGGCTCTGCTCCCTTGGGACCCCCTTTCTCTTCCTCTTCCTCTTCGGTGTCTGAACTGAGAAACGAAAATTTGGACCGCTGCTCCTTCAGCAGCATCTCGATGCGGGAGTCCAAGCTGCTGTGCTGAGCAAAGGGTACACTCTCATTGGTAGTCTCAGGGACAGGGGAACCAGATCGGGCCGGTGAGGTCTGCACAGCAGGGGAATGGGATCGGTCATCAATCCCAGGGGCTACAGTCACTGCTGGACTGATGTTCTCTTTAGTTTCCTGAGAAAGAAATTCTGTGGGAGGCAGGGAGTTGGCTGCAAACGTTTCTGCCGTGGGGAGCAGCCGGTAATCCTGATCCACAGCATGGGGTTCTGCAGTCACAGAGAAGGACTCTGGGGTGGCTGTGTAAGATGGGTAGAGCACACTGGGTGCTGGGAAATGTTCCACACTCTGCTGGGCAAAGCCATGACTATTCTGGAACTGAATGCTTTCTGATGCTGTTGTTACAGATGAGGAGCAAGCTGCAGTGACAACACAGGTGGAAGGAGTAGTGGTCGTGACGGTGGATGGAAGAGTAGGATCATCCCGTTGAGAACGTTCTCTGTGTCGAGAATGGAAGCCAGAGTCCTCTCTTGGATGAGAGCGATGAGAGGAGGAGGAGGAAGATCGCCCTGAGGTGGATGAGAGGCGCTGATATCGGCTACTACTGGTTGTGGCCGCACCACTGCTGCTGCTGCTACCAGCAAACTGTTGACTGTAAGGGGGGTAGTGATGGTCATTGCTGCGGTAGTGAGTGGAGGAAGATGAAGATGAGGATGAAACATAGTGCCAGCGGAAGTACGAGTCTGAAAAGCTGTTCTCATGCCGAGACGATTTGTAGGATGTTGATTCTGGCTGGTAGCTTGAGTAGCCTGGGGTCCCTTGCCTTAGAGAGGAAAAAAAAGCAGTTCCATGAGCACCTGCCCATCTTTTCTGCCCCCAATGAACTGGCTCTGAAAAGCTCCTACATTATTTGGGATGATTTCCCCAAATCTTGTCTCAAGGAGGGGGCTGGGGGGGGGGACACTAACCTGCTAGAGTAGGCAGAATCCTGTGAATATGGTGTTCCTCCCCGAGGGGTATACGGAGTCCCCTGGGACTGTGGTGTATACTGGCCATAGGAAGAAGGTGTGTCCTGTCGGCCACTGGAGTATGGAGTGTCCTGAGAACAAGGGATGCCATTGCCAGGCGTTGAAGGCATTGCATTACTCGGGTACAAGGAATTGGCCGAATGATGTCTTCGAGACTCTGACTGTAAAAAGAATAAGGTTGACAATTGCTTGATATCACTTCTTGCCCAGAGCTAACATTCATCTGCAATGCAAAGCCAAGTGGCTCACGCCATGCTGCCTAATAGGTAAGCATCTGTCTTAGATGATAAGTAACATTTTCTTAGCTCAGCTACTTCAATTACCAAAATGCACTCATGGCAAAATTAAAGGCTGAGCTGCCTAAAGCAAGTCTTCAGCTACTACCTGTAGGACACAGGAGAGTTGCAGGTAGGCAGCGAATGCAGTTCAGCAGAGGGAAGGGAGCAGTATCCTAGAAAGCAGAAGTTAGTAACAGATTCTCTCTTATTGGGCGATCAAACAATTAAGCAAGTCTTAAATAGGGAAGGAAACCTACAGGGGAGATCTTGTGAAGGAAAAGGAGCACCTAAACTAATCCGTTAGATTCAAATAAGTTTCTAAACTTACTGAATCAGGTAAGAACTTCTCATTCAGCATTTTGCTTCCAGTTGGGACAGTCTGGGGTGTGAAAGAGCCATTCACAATCAGTTCATAATATTTCATACGTTGTTGACCTGTAAAAACAAAAAAACAGTTGCCATTCAAAATCAGGGAGATGATACTAAATTAGGAGAGTGACTAAAGATGAGTTAAGCCTGTGGTGAGTTAAGCAATGTCCCTTTCACAGTGACTGGATCTGACAGGGGTTGGATGGGGAGCAACCGGTTGAAACTAAACCCTGGCAAGGCCGAGTGGCCCTTGGTTTGGGGTTCTTTCAACCAGGGAGAATTGCCACCTTTAGTCTTGGATAGGGTGGCACTACCCCAAATCTGGGGGTTCTCCTGGGTTCGTGACTCTTGCTTGAAGAACAGGTGGCGGTTGTGGCCAGGAGGACCTTTGCGCAATTGTGGGTTGTGCACCAGTTACGCCCTTTCCTGGACCAACAATCCTTACTCATGGTCACTCATGCCCTAGTCACTTTCCATCTTGACTACAATGCGCTTACATTGGGTTGCCCTTGAAGAACATCTGGAAGCTCCAGTTGATGCAAAATGCAGCGGCTCACATGGTTTTGTAGACCGCGATGTGCACATGCATCACCTCTCCTGCGGGAGCTGCATTGGTTAAAGATTTGCTTCCAGGTGCAATTCAAGGTGTTAGTTGTCACCTTTAAAGCTCTTCATGGCTTGGGACCAGGTTATCTGAGGGACCATCTCTTGCCAACCCACCAGAGAGGAGAAGCAGGGAATATTGCAGCTACCATTCCCTAGGGCAGGAGTATCAAACTCACAGCATCGCAGCATCGTCACGTGACATATCAGGACTTTTTTCCCCTTTGCTAAACCAGGAATGGGTGTGACCAGCATGTGATGCATCCGGCCAGAAGTTTGACAGCCCTGCTCTAGGGACAGATAAACATGGTGGGCCCAGAAGAAGGGCATTCTCTGTGGTGGGTCCCTCTCTCCGGAACATCATCCCGACAGAGATTAGAATGGCCCCCACTCTGACATTCTTCTGGAAGTCACTGAAGACCTGATTCTGCCAGCAGGCCTGGGGAATACAGAGTAGGATGGAGCCCATTAAATGGCTCGTCCGATGTCGTCGAGGCGGAGGGTTTATTTTATTTTATTATTTTATTATATGATTCTCTCTTTTATTAGTTTTATTGTTTTTTATCTGAAGTTTTTGTATTCTTGTAAGCCGTCTTGAATGTGCGAATAGGTGGCAATATAAATCTTCTAAAATAAATAAATAGATGGTCATTACCTTTGATATCCAGCTGGGCATGGATGATGTTGCCCATGACTGAAGTGTTGTGCAGGTTTTTGACTGTCTCCTTCGCCCCCCGTGTGCTGGTGAAGAGCACCTTGGCCAGACCCAGATGTTTGCCATTCTTTGGATTATACAGAATCTCAATCTCCTCAATGTCGCCATACTTTTTGCACATCTCACAGAGAAAGGATTCCTTGATGTTATCATTGAGCCGAGCAAAAGTCACCTCTTTCAGAGGGATCTGGCCCACGTAGTGCTCATCTAGCTGCAGCAATGACAGAAAGCAAGATGAGATGAGGAAGCTAAAATCAACTTCCAGTTCAGTTACATACCAATAATTACGAAAATAGTTTTAAAGAATATTGATAAGGATAGACTCAGAAATCATGGTTCTGCTGAACTTTGATCATCTGGGTCCAGGTCTCTGGCCCTTGAAGTAGATATTTCTCCATTTAAGTCCCAGATCTTAAGTACAATGTATTACCATTTCCTTGGCAATAATTTCCAAAACTAAAATGGACACTTCTATATACACCCACACACTTTGGATATCCTTTATTTATCCTGTACTTTTTTGAAAGTTTCTTCTTTTATTTTTTAAGCACACATTTATTATCCATTGATATTTCACCAAAATTCATCCAAAAGAAATACAGAAAGTCTGAACAAAATGCAGCAACATGGTGTGTCCTCCTAGGAGCCACTATTGCTGTTCTTGGTCAGTTTTGAAAATTTTAGTTTTTATAAAAGAACTGTAGCAATCTCCTTGAATACTACCTTATTTTTCAGCATCAATGTTGAAGGAGGTAGATATATATGCTTACTGTTTAAACTGACAGGACTCAATTTCCCTACCAACTTACTCTTATCTTCCAACCTTCTTTATCCTGAGGGAATATTTAGAAATGAAAGGAAATCTCAGAATGCATTTCCAAGAAATACATATGTGATACTTAGTGTTCTGCTAATGGATCCGGAGGCTTTAAGGGAATTGGAGAAAAATTATCTGTAACCAAGTAAGTGTAGCTTACCTTAAATTTTGGGACAGGAAGAGAAAGATCTCTGGTTTTAGACCATTTCCTATGTCTCGGATCCTGAACAACTTTTACAGGAGTGTGACCTGAGTCCTTGAGAAAAGATTCGAAAGTAGTGGTGATTCAAAATCCTTACTGACAAAATGGCACTAAGTACTTCTTGATTTTATCAAATTAATATAGTTGCTCATTTCACAAATCTGACTCTAGGAGGTATACAATAAAAACAGAATTACAAATAAAAATTTTAAAGTCATTAAATAATTAAAACATAAACCTACTGTACACTATGCAGATTAATATTCTTCTAAGATGGGCAACACATCAACAAATATCATTTTCAACAAAAACATTCATACAATTAAGCATGATTCACTTAATGACCGTATCACTTAGTGAGGGAAATTTGGTTTACAATTGTGGTCATAAGTCAAGTACTACCTTTATATGGACTTACAAATATCAATTATACAAGGCACTAAACTTGAAAAAAGGTTTAAAAATCAGTCTAGATTTTCTTTCCAGGTTCTAAATGTCTTTGAAATTATTTTGTCACTATTAGTTCTGCTGCTTGGTAACATGCCCAGGTAAGGCAATGTTTAATAAAAAAAAACCTCACAGGCTATAATGAATGTGAAACTAACACTCGGTACAGGAAGAAAAAAAGCAAATAGAGAAGATTCATTCTACTTCAAGTAACATCTTATTTCAAGGAAATAGAAGCTTGAAATCCCTCTGAATTATAGAATGCGGAATTTTTCTGAGTTCTTTTTATTTTGTTTATGTGGTACAGGGCCAAGCTGAAACTGGCATTTAATTAAAGATACACATGATTTACATGACTCTATATTCACATTATCTCCTGCCTAATCCAGAAGAATATTTAAAAAATACATTCAGGCAAAATCAAACTATCTAAAACTGAATTATTAGAAAATTAGTTCTATCAAACTTCAAGCACAGTATATGTTAGAAGAAATTAAATTTAGAAAAAGGAAAGTAGTGTTCCAATTCTAGGGGTGTGTAAAATGTTTCAACCACAAATTGTGAAATGTCCCATGCTGAGTGCAATATAGTATGTTGCTTTTTAGAAGTGTTTGGCATAAGGCTTAAATTTATTTCTGATTTCTTCTCAGCAGCACTTTTTCCACAAATCTAGCGATAGATAGATAGATAGATAGACAGACAGACAGACAGACAAAAATTTCCAATCCTATACACTATATATTTCAGAACAAACCATACTGATGTTAAAGTATGTTCTAGTTTTTATTTCACAACCTGAACTGTGTTTTAATACTGAGAAACTCGTAGTAAGATGTCATTGGCATTCAGATATTTAAATATTTCATGATGCAAATATTTTGGCTGAAAAAATTTGCATACCTCAATTTGATACAGATTACAGCGGAATATATTTTATATTTCAGTGTGACTGCAAAATATTTCCTTTTCAGGAAATTAGAAGAACACCATGCTGAAGAAGACAATATTAAGCATCAACAAATAATTATATCATGGATGGCTTAGTGTGTAAAAGAGAAAATATATGTAAGTATGATTAGCAACTAAGAAACAAGGATTGTGATTTTCACAATACTTCAAGGCCTGTTCCCATTTCTATGAATGTTTTTCAAAGAAGTCATTTCTCTTTCATGATAGCTCTTATTAAGAATTGATTGGAACTTTAAAAACTAACAGAGAATCTTATTTATGGAATTCAAGCCCTGTCTCTTGCTTGAATTAGAAAGGAAAATATGGTTGACTTGAACTTCTCTATTTGCTGTTACACAGTAGACTATGGACACTTGGAAACTAACAGGCTTCGAAACTACCAAGAACCTTGTGCCTTCAGTATTATACCAGCACTCTTTCATAAGTCTTAATCACAATGCCCTTTTTGTAATGTTAAAATACATAGAAACTAACTTTCTAAGAAACATTCTTGGAAATTTTGCCTTTTTATTCTACGCAGAAAAACTTATGACGAACATGTGTTAGAAAAAGAAAGTAAGTTAAACTCCTACTGATTTTAGTGGAGTAAATGCTTGAGCATGCTAAGAAAATCACTGGCTACTATGAGATTTAAGCAAAAGTCTAAACACTACCTAAATCCAGTCAACTACTACCTTCTCCCTCACTAAAATCACCACCTTTTTTAGATGCCTAGATCAACAGGTTCAAATGTTGTCTCTTTAACAGAGACAACACACAAGGTCCACTAGCCAAGTTTCAAAACAGAAATCTATTGCATGCTAGATAGTACAAAATATTATCAAAATTGGCAAATGGTGTAGATGATGTTCCTAAAAGTTAAACTCAATATGGAAGAAGGAAATATCAGAATTTTTGGCCAACTCAGGTTCTTGTGTTAGCTAATTTATAAATGTATAATGACACATAAAGAAAAAAGAGCAGTATGGAATGGGGAGCCTGTGGCAGTCATGAAAAAGCTGGACAAGGATCAGTGCAGAGTTGACTCATCCAAAGATTTGTGTCACATCACAATGAATCTGCTCTCATGTAAGAGATGGAAAGCCAACTAAAACGTTAACACTCAGCAAAATACAGTACATGAAGAAAACAGGAGAAGCAATACACAGAATCTGGAAAAGATATTTAAAAAGAACATAGAGATACAATTTAGTAAAAACTAAATAAAAAACCCAATACTATTCACTTACATTAGTGCTGAAATGCACTCCGTCATAGCGGTAGATCTTGTGCGGGCCATCCTTAAGCATAGGATCAACAATGAGCTTGTAGTTTCTCCACTGGAAGTTAGGGGCTTTCTGGAAGTCACCCCCACCTTCCTGATCCATTCTGACTCATTTACACTGCAGGATGCACATGGAATCAAAGGAATATTAAATCATGTGTTCATTTCTAGCAGAAGTAATTTCAATGAGAGAGTCTACTGCCATTCACTATTTTCATACTTTCAAACTCAGAATCACCATCTAAGGATATCTTTCTGAATATAAAAGAACCACAAGTTTTAATATTAAGCACTGTGAAACAATCTGCTCAGAAAATTTCTCTTGCATCTATTTCAAGATCTGTTTAGCATTCTCAAAGCTACTTACAGCAATCAGAAGACTCCGTGGCTTAAGCCAAAGTTCCTGAATGTGCAGTTGACTTTGAAAATAGCTGAACCCCAGTTGCTGTTCTTCACATGATATCCTAAGTTATAAGGCCTGGTTAATGAACTTGCTCACCCTTCCCCTGAATAAAGCTACTAAATCTCAAATACTTTTATATTCTTTGTCTATGGTCAGTTTACCATAATTGTCTCAATACAAGATAGACAATACTTCTGACTATAACAAACTACTAAAAGCTGGGGTCATTTTCTTTTTCAAGGAACCAGTGGGCATATTTACACCAATCAAGGCTTGTAGTCTACAGTACAAGGCTAATGTAATTCAGTATACTTCGAACAAAACAGAACTGCCTGGACTCATGATTCTATAGTCTTATTTGTTTAGAGGCAAAATGAATCTGCAAAATGTAGCATATAGAAATTTGCTTAAAAGTGTTTAAACGAGAACATTCAGACTTTTTAACTTCATCTTTTTTTCTGAATATTCCTATTAACTAAAGAAATATTTGGTTAGCAAATGATGTGCAATCTCAGAAACTGAAGTATGATCGAAGTAAGACTTCAATTTTGTTATATGAAGAAACAAAGAAAAATAAGCTGATAAGAAATAGCTCCTGAAAGTCAGAAAAATAATGATTCTTTAATAAAATTGTAATATTGCTTATTGAGATATTTAAAAATGGGATATCTCCTCTATTCAGATATCCATTCCTGAATCAAATCATTCTGGAACTGAAGTAATGTAGACAGATGCATGACCAAAAACTGTTGGGAAAAACCTTGCCACAAAAAATTCTTTTAAAAAATTCCTGACTGTTTAATTTTATTTTCACTTGACCCTAAATCATACTTTTGTGTCAATGTATTCACAATCTGCCAGCAGATGATTTTTTTTAAACAAAATATTGAATTAATTTTAAGTAACAATCTTGGAAACCCTTGTAACTTAACATTCTACTCTCATATGCAGCTGCTAATCGCATAAGGACAGGGATACATATCTTAGAATACATAGAAATTATATTATAATAAAAGGAATAAATTTAAACCTGATGTAGATGATCTCTTCTGTGGTCAAACTACTGGTAAATTTTAATGTATAGCTATACAAGTATTTTTTTCTCCTTCTCAATAAAACCAGGTAAGAGTTGGTTCAATCCATAACTTGAAACAGAATATCTAAGAGACTAGGAAGAAAGCAGAAAAGTGTTTTAAAAAGCAAGCAACACAACATATTCTCATGAGGGATTCAAACTTGAATTCTGAAATATTTTCAAGCAGTAATATTATAACATTCTGATTTTATATGCAAAATTCTGATAAATCTAGATATAAGGACCCAAATTTGAACTTTTGGGGATGACCATTTCCATATGAAGAAATTTCTATGTTCACCAAAAAAAGACATAAATTAACCAAGTTATTCACATAATTAAAAATTGAACATTACGGGTATTATTTATAATCAGACAAAATGGTGCAAACTGAACCCATAAATAATAAGCTAACATATATTATAAAATTATCTGTGGGGAAATTCCCAGAGTTCAATTCTTTTGGCAAGAGAATAATAAATAGCATAAACATATAATATTCTCTAATCCTATAAAAGCCTACTGACAAAGATTTGCCCTCTTGTTTCAGTTGTCTATGTAGACAACTGAATGTTTCTACCTCAAATATTGACCTGCTATTTTCTTTAAAGCTAAGAAAGCCCATCTCAATCTATTATTTGCTACCAATAGTTCTAATTTATTTGTGCTTCTTTATCTTACAGAAGAGTGTTGTTTCCAATTTCCTGCCTTTCTCAAGCAATTCTCTTAATTTTCCCATCTTCACAAGATATCATCTGTTTCTCCTTAACCTCCCAATATCTCCACAACTCACCCTTCTTTGACTTCCAATGTCTGGTCTCTATTGAATATTACTATCCCACTGGTATTGCTATCGTATCACTGCTTGTGTTCCCCAAGGCATACAAGACACACCTATTACTTCATCCTAGCTCTTCTAAATACCCGCTAGATTCTTTTCCCCAATTCACCTGATACTCAGTTTAACAACTGGCACGAACTGTATGAAGAGGGGTGAATTAGGACTGGCTAAAGGAAGGTGCCTGGGGCGGGGCCCAGATTGGAGGCATGGATCAAAATGATGTATTTTGAGAAAGGGTTCCTTGACAGGACCCCCTCAAAATCATCCCTCCTCCTCTTCTCCTCTGGGCAAATGCCTCCTCCCCATAGCTTTTCATGCCGACAGTTCCCCCTTTTTCAGTCACCTTCCTCAGAACCGTCTACAGCGGTGTCCCATCCTTAGAAAGGTGTCCAACTTCCACAACCCAGATTGCCTAGTTCAGGAGACTTAAAAAAACCACAACCTTCTCCACACGTGAGGATGATTTGTGTGTGTGTGTGCGTGTGTGTATGGGGCGGAAGCGGCCCTGTTTCTCTCTCCTCAGCCGGGACCCCCACCCCCACTCATACCCCGCCATTCCCCCACGCCCTTGAAGGCCCTTTCTCTTCTCTGCACCTCCTCTTGTCTGGACCCTATTTCGGCTATTCCCCCCCGCCATTACACCTTCCTTTAACCCCTCCCATTTCGAACTCCCCCCTCAGCCTCCTCTTCCTCAACCCCCCCCCGGTCCTTCCCTCCCCATCAGGTATCCCCGACCCCGCCCACCAGATGCGCGCTCCCTCATCTCCGCACGCGCTGCGCCCCCCCCGCTGCCCAACACACCGCTCCTTCGCGGCGTCCTCCCCACCCCGCGCCGTGGCGGTGGGGGGGAGGTGTCTCGCGCTGCGAACCCCTGTCGTCCCCCCCCTCCGTGAGCGTCACCTGCTCCTACCCGCTCCTCCCCCCCTTCTCCGCTCCAGGGGGCGCACGCGCGGCCCCCTCCTCCGGTTCGGCCTCGCGCTCCGCCGCCGATCTTGCCTTTCCGCCTCGCGCCCTGTGAGGGAAAGGCGAGGGGAAGGGGGAGAAGAAGAAAAGAGGGAAAGGGGGAAAAGGGGTAACAAGCCGCCGCTTCCACCGCCACCGACAGGGACCAGGGGGCGGGGCCAACGCATTCAGGAGAGGCGTCTCGCGTCAGACCTCGCGAGATTCGCGCTCCATTTCTCCCCCCCACTCCCATTAGCCCCGCCTCCGCGCGAGACGGGCCCCACCGGATCTCCCTTTGTTCTTCTGATCGGTACTTTCGACAGAGGCGATAAGGGAGGAAAATCCGCTTCCCACCCCGTGGCCCTCTGAATACGCCGGCACGTTTGGTGGATAGCGTTCGGTCAGGTCGGCGGAGCTCTTGAATTGTTTTCGACGTTCCCTCCGACCGCTACCTCGAGGCGAATCGGTGGTTCCGAAATGGCCGCTAGGCTCCAACGAAGGGAAGCGAGGCGGCGATTTCGTCCTCGCAGATTCTTCCCTGCCTGACAGAAAAAAAAAGACGCGTCATTTTAGGGACCCGACGGTTCGCCCTTGCGTCATGATGCCTTGGGTGTGAGAGGTGGCCCCAGTGGAAATTTTTCTCTCGGTTCGGTGGAGGACGAAAAGGAGAATCGGCAGGAGAGAAGCTACCGGTCGTTCTAACGAGACAGGCGACACTTTTCACCTCAGAGCAGAAGGGCCGGTGCTCCTTTTGCCGAGAGAATGAAGCCAAAATGGAGACTTGAGTCTCTTGAAAGCCGCTTTTGGCTCGTTCACTTCCAGCTAAAACTGTGAAATCTCGTGAGTTTGAGTCCCAGAAGAGAAACAAGATGGAAAGGAAGCTATAGGGCGGTTTGGAGGCAGTGGGGGTCTGCTCAGGCCCCAAGTTAAGAGGAACAGATTTTTGAAAATATATTTTTCTTCTCCATGTGGCAAAATAGTAGTTTTTCAACACAGGTGCGTGGGCCTCTGCTTCTATTGGGGAATCCAGCAGGGAAGAGCACAGTTATTTCTCTGCAGTATTGCATAAACATCGATTTGCTCCCTGAAGTTTCTTAGGAATGGGGGGACATGCAGTTTTTTGTGGGGGGGGGGGGAAGTACAGGTAATCCTCGACTTAGGACCAGAATTGAGTCCAAAAATTTATGTAGCAAAGTGAAACATTCCACCTGCAGCAAGGGCACAACTGAGGGTGGTGCTAATACCACCACAATTGAGTCCAAAATTTCTGTTCAGTGAGACATTTAAATGAGTTTCTCCATTTTACAACCTTTCTTACGACAGTTATAAAGTGAATCATTGTAGTTGTTAGTAGCACAGTAGTTAAGTGAATCTGGCTTGCCCATTGATTTTGCTTGCCGGAAGGCTGCAAAAGGGGATCACATGACCTTGGGACTCAGCAGTGGTCATAAGTATCAGTCAGTTGCCAAGCATCTGAACTTTGATCACACAATCATGCTACACAAGTTGTAAGTGTGCAAAACAGCCATAAGTCACTTTTTTCAGCACCATTGCAACCTTGAACAGTCGGTAAATGTACTGTTATAAGTCGAGAACTACCTCTATTGCAGTCCTTTCAAATCAAGATGCATGCATTCCTCCCCTCCCCCAGCCAAAAAAATGTACCTGGAAGACTAACAGATTCAGGAGGCTCTGTGCTATTAATAGATGTGGGACAAGCAGAAGTCCATCCCATGGTTAATATGCTAGAAAATGTGTTCTTGCTTCATTTGTAGCACCTTGAAATAGAATGTTAGTATTGCATGCAGAATTTGACCTGTTACTGAAAATTTTTTGAAGCTTGGACAGCTCTAGAAAATATAGTACTGAGAAAGATCATGGTAAAGCCAGAGATAATGATTGCTTTGCTTCATTTCATGATTCATTTCCATGTGCTTCCTGGAACTAACAGAATATTCCCAGATATTCCTTCTAATTAATGCTCAAGGAGCCTATTGACGTCTGTATTAGATGCGTAATAATGCATATAGGAGGTAAAAATTTAAGAACAGATTATGCTTACCTGAAAAATGATATTTAATGCTTGCTTATTGTAACAGTATTTTTAATATAACAGTCACTGTGGCATGATGGTGGATAGATTTTTATATTACAGTCGTTATTGTTTACACATTGTTTTAAATATATAAGTAATATATTGCTCAATATGCCCGCAGAAAGTTACTTTTCTGGAAGGTTGTCTATTACATTCCTTTATTCTTTCTCCAAAGCAAGTGGCATGGAGGCTTGTATAATGTGGAGCAAAGTATGGGATTTTGATTAAAGACTAGGATTTAGAATAATGTCAACCTCAGCAACTTTAAGATGGGTGTCCTGAAGGTGTTTTTTCAAGAGGCAACTGGACTTTCTGGTTTTTCTTTGAAAATGTTTCGCTGCTCATCCCAGAAATTTCTTCAGCTTCTTTAAGATAGGTGGACTTCAACCTCAAAAGAGCCTCTGGAGCTCTGGGAGGCTGTTTTCGCCTTCCCAGAGGCTTGAGGAAAGCCTCGGGAGCCTGGGGAGAGCAAAAATGCCTCCCCACCATGGTACAGGAGGCTGACTAGGCCACGCCCACCATGGCCATGCTCACCCAGCAACCGGGCAGAGAACCAGTTGCTAAATTTTTTGAAGCCCACCCCTGATCACAAGGTTATTGCTATGGGGATAGCAAGCAGGAGATAGAAGTATTTATGCTTGTGGTATTTGAGCTCTTGAAGGAAAAACAGGCTATGAATAAGAAATTCTTTTATGAACAAACTAAATTCTGTTGTGGGCTTAGAAGACATGGGAATTAAAATGGTGAAGCAATTTGTTCATTGTACTGGAACATACTGTATGAAGAAATTCCACTAAAGTATTAGCAAATCAGAGGACAGGCCGCAATGGAAATAAGTGTTTTTGTATAAAAAAGAAAAAAAATAGAAAGTGTTTTAAGAGAAAATAAGTTGATTGAGTAAAGGACAGGGAGAAATTAGTTTCCTATAGTTGAACTGAGTTTTTTTACTGTAAGCCACCCAGAGTCACTTAGATAAGATGGATAGTATAAAAATGTGATGATTAAAAAAATTCTGGATTATTTGTAATTGTTCTTTAAGAGTTTCATATTCCTAATATAATAATAGTATATTTGACTAGAAGAAAAAATTGGCAATCTTTTTTGCAGATTTTTCTGAAGGCTGGACATTGCTTATCTATATTTTAAGAAATTTAGATATCTTTTGAAATATTGAATAGCACTATACCTCTGTTTTGAGCTTCTTATTGTTATTAAACTAATAAGAGTTACTTTGGATGGATGGATGAATGGTAGGTAGATAGATAGATAGATAGATAGATAGATAGATAGATAGATAGATAGATAGATAAAAATACAGTAAATAAAATAAGCCTTGGATTACTTCTTTCAAAACAAAGGAAGCAAACATGAATAAATTCTACAGCCCGGAACTTTTGGCCATTCAGAAAAACCTGGTTAACATCATTGCTTTGATACCTAGCTAAACTGTAAAGTTAGTAAATTACTTCCTTACTTTTTAAATTTAAAAAGCATTTTTAAAACTTTTTTCTCTAAATGGCTTGACATCTAAGTATATTTAGTTGTGAATGGTGAACAGCAGCATTCTAAAATTTAGAATAATAAAGAAACCTACTTTTCATTAATTTACTAACCTTGAAAGTTCTTTTGTTGTAGTGCCTAAAGAAGTATCTCCATTTCATTCCTATTCTTCCTTATCAAAAGGGGATGTAAATTGGGATTATAATTAATATAAGGTTAAAAGTGTAATAAAAATATTTTTAACATTTGAACCAGAAAAATTGTATGTGTTTGTGTATTTGATAAAAAAAAATCTGTGCCCATGTTCATACAGTGGAAACAGACATCTGATTTCATATTACTGTATCCTGCTTCCTAAAAGCTGCTTTATTTTGAAATGTGGAGTGTATGTAGTATAGCACTATTATTTCCCCCCACTAGATGGCGATACTGTTAAAATTTAGCTTCTGGCTGATCCTTAAAAGATGACTGACAGACAGAAATAGGATGGTTCCTCCTGGTTTTGGCTTCTATCTCTTCTCAGAAATAGTCCCCTTTCATCTAGTTTCTTGTTACTGTAGTTTTCAAAGCCACATTTGTATTCACTTTAGCTGCATGATTTTATTACATATGTAATACAGCTTTAGAAAGGATGGCTAGTTATACACTGACAACCTGTTCCATAATTACAAGAATCTTTTAAAATTGATTATGCTGAGTGAAATAATGGTTTGAAGTATTCAATACAGGGAGCCTGCTGAGAGAAGGTCTGGTTCTTCCTAATACTAGTTTGATTAGTTTCAAGCAGAATTCAATTTAGGTATTCCTGGAATTTCAAGGATAAAGTTTATTGCGTTATTCTGCACTGACCAGGCTTCATACATGCTACACTTGGGCTAAAGGGCATGAGAATGGATGCGTAAAACCTCTTTGTCTCTTGAATGTAAATTACAAGGTCTTTACCCAATGAAGCTCAAATAAGTACAGGTATCTTAAAAGCAGCAATTTGAAGCAGCAGCAAACAGGTTCAGGCTAAATACCAGTACCTTACTTGACAGAGAGTAAAGAATATGAGTCCCAAGGTGGATTTGATTGTAATCAAGTTGATTTGAATCATGATTTTTAAAGGGCAACTGTCATCTCTGTCCTTCAGCAGTTTTTCCTCTGACCTGCTGTTGACTCACCGATAGTCCCAATATTGCAGAATATAAAGCAGGGGTATACCTACCACCCACTTTTGTATCTCTGTTAGTAGCAAAATTTTCTCTTAACTGCCCACTGGTTCCACAGTAATGGTGATTTATAAAGTAGGGGACAAAACCACTACCACCCACCATGAAACTTGGAACGCCGACTAGTGGGCAGTAGGGACCAGGTTGACTACCACTGATATAAAGCCTCATGCTACATAACTAAGCTCCATTTCATGCTGAATAAACTAAATTATTAAGGTATCTTAAATAGAAATCTATCTTTAGATTTTTACTCCAAAAGCATTTTATTAAAATACATTTGATAATAGTTTTTTAAAAATCCAATTTTTAATTTTTTTTTAAAAAAGTCATTTATTTTTATCCACCCTGAAGATGACTATAACATAAATAGGCAGGAATTATTACCTAAACAAAAGGGGTTAAAACACCATTTAAACAATGAGATAACATTTGGAAGTAGTTCAAGCAGTTGCCGTCCTTATTCACTGAAGTCTAAGGAGATGGTGATATAGCACAGACCTGGAAGATTATTATTATAGCCAATCTCAATAAATATAGTTTTAGCCTTCCTATGGAATTTATTTCCTTGTCTAATCTATTTAGTGGAACCGACACATAACTATGCCAAGACCCCTAGAGCAGAATTGATTGCCACAGCAAACTTTTAATTTTTACAAAACGTTAGGGAATAGCAGCTAGAGATGTATATACTTTTTAAAAATTGTCTTGTTGACATGAAGATTGACTCCTGGCCAATTTATTGTCATTATTTTCTTGGGAACAGTAAGGATATGTCTGTCGCAACTATGCAACACATGCATTTGAACCGAAGCCACAACGATCTGAAGCATGGCATTCTCCTTCATCGGAATAAACTCTGTATCATAATAATACATGCGGTATACGTAAAACTCTGTGAGGTTAAGATATACGCATTAACCACGATTCATGTGATTGGGTTACGATGAGTAATCCTAAATAATAATGGTAATCATGGGTAATAAAGGCAATCAGGGCGATAAAGAATAATGAGGGGAAATCATTATAAATACCGAGTCCCAGGAAACTTGGGTTAGATCCGACTTTATTTTATTTGCTTAACTATTGTCTTGGACTCCTTGTGGAGGAAGGAATAAAAAATAAGCTTTTGTGTTACCAAATACTGAAGTGAAGAGTGTCTTATTTTCTCCCCGCATTTGTGCCAAAGAGAAGTTGAGAATGTCATCCCTTTGCTTTCTTTCAGGGTGCTTTTTGGGCTTCCCTACCATAGAAACTTCCTCGTGGTTTCAGATCCAGATAACTCTTGAGATTAGCAAGATCAACTATATGTACAATCTGTATTTATATATGATGATGCAGTAGTTTCTGTACCACGGCTCAAATTGTATATTTCAACGAATTTCTAAGTGAATGCAGATAACACTATCTCTATGGTACTAAGTTATATGTGATGCCTTTCCACTAATTTGAATGAGGCTTACTTTTTATGTACAGTTTTTAATAGATTCAAAATATATGCAAAAGGTTGGATACCCTTCCAGTTGATTGACTACTATTTTTTTCTCCATACAATTTATATGGAATTGTTGAAATCAAGGATAGATCTGGCAAGATCAAGAACTTCTGATATAATTTTAAACAGCAGAGCAGAACCCACAATTCAGAATATCCCGTGCTCTGCACCTTCTTTTCATTAAACAGGGCAGGTCAGAGTTCAATCAGTCCAAAATGCTATTTCAGAAGCATTTATTAAGAGAGACCATCTATCTGGTCTCTTAAACTTTATTGGTACTTGCGTCAGGAAAAGTCCTTTAGGAATCTGATCTGGATTTTTTTTTCCCTGACAAGAGTAAGTTTGCATCCTATCCCAACCCCAAATGCGACATAACCATCAACAATAAAATATTTTGAGTATGTCTGCAGTACAGCAGTGACAGATGAAGGAGATGACGCCCAATCCAGGTTGAGCCATTCCAGCTGCATGTCTCACTTTGGGTGACTCTTCCTGAACATAATCTCATGTAATAAAAACTGAGCATGTCGAAGATGTGCAAAAATTAGGCTAAAGAATCCTTTGATGAGCTATATTTCTAAATGCAGGGAAAACTATTGGGGAAGTAATATATGTACAGCTGGTAATCCTGGGAGTGACATTTAATTTCAATCTATTTTAATAATTCGAGTTAGACAAACTTCATTTTTTTCTTTAAAAACATTTTATTTTAAATATATATATAAACATGTCCCAATTGGCAGCCGCCCTCCTTCATTAATAGAAATACATGGTAAAGCGTGTACCAAGCTCTTAATTGTGTACCATTCACAAGTGTAAAAACTCTAGCCCTGCATTGTTAAGATGTAAAGCACCTTTGCCCCTCAGGTAAGTTGGACTACAAAACCCATGATCATACCAACTCAGAGTTAGGGAAGCTGTGCATTCAGAAGAAGCCAGGCTAGTCAAGGCTGATGTAAAGTTAACTGGTTTCCCTAATGCTTTTAAAGGCCAAGCTCTGAGATGTACAAGTAATTGAGCTGGCCTGGTTAAGGCTAAATTAATTCATTTTTTAAGGGGAAAGTAAAGCATTGCTTGATAGAAGAAAGTAGTAGCGGCTGTGCTTCCAATCTTTTTAGCAGTATCCCCAGCCAGCTTCCATGCATTTTCTTCTCATTACTGCTTGCGTGATCTAGCACTCTGCTTTTCAACCTCTTGGCAACTTTTAAGATGCACGGACTTCAGCTCCCAGAACTGAAGAATTCACCCTCCCATGCAGGCTGGAGGATTCTGGGAATTGAGGTCCATGCATCTTAAGAGTTGCTGAGGTTGAGAAACACTGACCTGCAGTTCCTGGGAATGTCAGTTGGGCTTTCTGTATGTCTAATTCTACTTTGACCCCCCTCCCATCTTCCCACACGCACATCCTAAAGATGTATTTTTCTTCTCCAATAAAACAGCTGGAAAATCTATGATAGACAAAGGATGTGTTATTTTTATCGATACAAAAATATATTTCCCATATTTCCAAATTATCTCCAACTACTTTGCTCCCCCACCCCCCAAAAAAGAGATGGGTCCATACTGTCCCTAATTCTGAGGAAGCAGAACTCTTAAGGGAAAACATCTGAGCATTCCTGAAGAGAAGAACAGCTGAAGACCGAAGGCTGAAACTGTTCCGCTTCCTGTTCAGCAGGAAACCTGCTTCCACTGTGGTTGGTTCCTTTGATAAAGACGCATATGTACGCCTTGCAATATAGTTGATAAAGAGCTGCCTGTGATATGTTGCTCTAACCTTACTTAAGACATAGTCTTCTAGAATGGCATTTCGTAACTCTTCAACCGCCACTCTTGGTTCTTCAAACACAAGATAAGATGCTAGTCCACATATGTGCAGGACAGGAAGTTGAGGAAGAGGGAGAGGGAGAAGATATCAGCCTGGTTTTAACGTTCAGTGGCTCTTCCCACCAAGGACTGAGACCAAATCTGTTCTTAAAAGAAAGTGCAAGAGGCAAGCAAAATTCCTCCCCTACCCACAAATTCCTAAAATGGACTTAGATTTTAACTTCTACCATACCCCAATAGTCTTCTTCCTCCTCTGAAAAATACTCCAAACAACGAAGCCATCTCCCAGTGGAGCCAAGCAGTCTGTTCCCCCCCCCCCATACTGTGTGACTTTGCCTCTATAAATAAGGATCCCTGGGGAGGGGCAAACAATTTATGGCTGGGGGCAAAGCACATATATGGGGATAATATGCATATCCCAGGAATTCCTGGGTCAGAAGTCCAACTTTCTGTACCGACCCCAACTCTGACAATGATCCAGAACTGATGCCAAGTTTCCATAGAGGTAAGCAAACAAGCATTTGAAGAATGGCATAGACTGCATGCAAGAGTTTGGTTACAGCACAGCATTCTCCATCCTAGTCTCTTCTAGATGTGCTAGATCAAACTTTCTGCCTGGGAATGTGGGATTTAGGGGGTCCCAAGAAGAGGGGGAAGGAACCAACTGGAAGAACTGGATTTACAATGCCGAATCAAAGATGCACGCACTTCCTAGCCTCTTTGAGAATCCAAGGCCAGGCCTTCTGGAGATGCCGTGACGCTCCATCAAATTGATGGAAAGGTTTGGTTATCAGGGATATTTTCAGATTGTCCAACAAGCAGCAAGGGGAACTGCACAATGAAAGCATGAAGATGAGATCAGCTTGAGACCATCAGGCCTAATTAGAGGTTGACAAAGGGCTCTTTCTTGGGACCTAGCAGCTCTAACACCTGTTCAAAAGTTAGTCTAACCAATCTTGGTTGGTTGAACTCTACTACTCCATATGTATAAAGATGAGAAGAGAAGCAAAACGGACTGCAAATGAACGTACTGCCCTGAACTTTTCAAACCCACCCATTTTGAAATGTCAGAAATAGCAAAGATCTTTTGATTGTCTTCTCCAGTTCTGCAGACAAAGTTGAAATCTTACAGGATGAAGTGACCATCTCACCCCTGGAGAGACCAAAGCTGTCCTTTTCCCTCCCCACCCAACAACTGCCTCCTGTAAACATTTTACTGTATGATCAAAAATCTACCAAACGGGGAAGTTCCTCAAGGAAGCTTCCCTAGATTTCACTCCCTGCTTTTTAGGAGCAGCCCGTTTCAATAGGCTCTCCTGGGCTTGAAAATTGCCCCCTAGGAAATCTAGACAAATGTTGTTGGACATTGGAGACTCTGGAGTGACATCAACATCACAGCTTTGGGGTTAAATTCCAACAGTGGCAGTTACTTAACAGTTTTTCCATCGAGACAAAATCAGGATACAACCGATGGCAGCGCCTTTCTCTCTAAAAGATCACATCAGTTGCAGTTCAAGTGAGGCTGCCAACTCACACCACTTGCAGAGCCGTGGCTTCTCCGTCCAACTGATACTTGATCTGGTTAAGTTCTTCCAGCTCTTGCTGGTGCCGATCAGTTTTGTGCCCCACCAAGGAACGGTAGAAATGCAAAGCAAAGATGATGAACACAACGCCAACTGGAACCATAATCACCGTGGAGGCCATGGCAGCGTTCCAGCCAGAACTGCCCGTAGAGACTGTGGTGTTCCCATCATGGAGCCTTTCCGGAGTGCAGCACTTCCTGCTCGTCCCCATGTTGCCGACAGGCATAAACTTGACCCAGCAAATCAACACCACTTCAGTGAGGAACAGGAAGATGCCCAAGGCCGTGGAGAAGCCCCAGGCCAGCTCAATATAGTGGTGCATTCGTTCGTGGGGAGACTCGTTGACCGAATTGAGGTTGTGGATGTTACTGACAGCTTCGATATTGGGCAAGATGCAGGTGCTGACCATAAGAGCGAAGAGATGGACGGCCACCAGCACTGTTGTGCAGGCACTGAAGGCCACCAGTAGCTCCCAAGGGTAGTCATAGTCTTCCAGTTGTACTTCCACCATGGCTACCTGGAGAAGGACAGATTGTTGTAACTTAGAGAAAGTAACCACTGGAGGTCAAATCTTGATAAGAAAACTGCAGGGACTATTTCAGGAAGTTGCCAGAAGTTCAGGAGAAGTTCCACTGATCTGGAGACATTATAAAAATTAAACAAGCAGAACAAACCACCTATTTTTGCCTTGAGGTAAGGAGGCTAGATGGCTGGTTTTGCAAAAAGCACTAGACTCTGCCCCCGCTCCCAACCCATATTTTTATTTCCATGAATGCAGGACAATAACTGTCATGCTTGAAGATTTTGAACCAACGAAATAACCAAATTGGTGCTTTGCTTCGCTGCATGCAACTTCCCTTTCTTTATATATCTATTTTTAAAAGAAACCTCATAATAATACCAAAGAAGCTTTATTGTAAACACAGCACAATTTGCCTAACATTTTTTTTAAACCCACCCTGCTTTGAACTCAAGAGGGGCCTCAGGAGCAAAGTTATTCTAATTCTGTTTGCTCAGAAATAATTCCCTGCGAGATCAAGGAGTCCTCAGTACATCTGTTTAGAAAGGGAGCTTCCGATTCTTTCCAGAGAGCTGCACTGGCTTTGTAATGTTTTCTTTTTAAACAATTAAAAGAAAAATGAAAAACATAGCAAGAGCTGAAGGGAAAACATGTTTCAAATCAGCAAGGCCAGCTACACTCACACTGGTTCATGCAATTTATCGTCCCATGTCTAGATCTAAATCAGCCTTAACCTTTTAACCTTAACAACTTTACATTGGGTGGACTTCAGCTCCCAGAATTTCCCAGCTAGTATGGTTGAACTGGGAATTCTGGGAGCTGAAGTCCACACAACTTAAAAGTTGGCGAGTTTTAGATTTCTTCAATCTGGTGCCATCCTGGTTTGATGGCCATCTCTAGCTACTGTAGCCTGGGATAATAGGAGCTTAAGTTAAACACATCTGAATAGTCCACTTATTCAGGTGAGCATCTCTCTCTCTCCTCTCTTCTCTCTGTTTCCTCTCTGTCTCCTCTTCTCTCTTTCTCCTTCTCTCTTTGTGTCCTTCTCTCTCTTTCTCTCACTTTCTCTCTCATCCACATCTTTACATGAAGTCCTCAATGGGTTACAGGTAGCCTTTGATTTACAATTTATTCAAAGTTACAACAGCACTGAAAAAAGTGACATGACCACTTTTCACACTTAACAACCATTGCAGCGTCCTCATGATCATGGGATCAAAATTCAGATGCCCAGAACTGACTCCTATTTATGACTGTAGCAACGTCCCAGAATTGTGTGATTTCCCCTTTTGTGACTTTATCACAAGCCAATGGGGAAGTCAGATTTGCTTAACAACTGAGCTTATAACGTAACAACCGCAGAGATTCACTTAATAACTCCGGCATGAAAAGTCATAAAATGGAGGAAAACTCACTTAAATGTCTCACTGAACAACAGAAATTTGGGGCTCAATTGTGGTGGTGAGTCAAGGGCTACTTGTATTAGCACGACCCTCGGCTATTGGCCCTCAGTTGTGCCCTTCCTGCAGGTGGAATGACTGAGGCCCAGAATCAAAACCTGCTGTTTTTAAGCTTCCCTGCTGAGATGATGATCCCAATTCTCTACGAGTTGATTGGAACATGATGCAGAACAACAGTAAATAAATCCCACCGGTTGCGTTGCAGTTCTACCAACCCTGCAGAAATCTTCGCTGCAGAAAGAGGAGACCGTGTGCAATTTGTCCTGGCACTTGCCTCTACAGCCAAGTATGATCCATAGTGCCTCTTAAAGCTATTAATCCCCAACTTGGCACAGGAATATGCTGCTTGAAGAAAAGTGGGGGAGGGCAGCGTCCCATATTCTGGTCTGACTGGTTATAGCTCCAGCTTTGGCTTAAGTTCCAGTTCCTTGGCAGTTTCCCCAGATAATTTGGGGGGTGGGCAAGAAGAGGGAGATGGAAGGGGAGGCTGGCTTTAAGCCCCAGCAAAATGGCTCCCTCCATCTGATTCAACACCTTCTGGCAGATGAGAAAACAGTTTTATAAAGTTCTTGAAAAGGGGAGCCTCTCCAGATCCACAAAAGGAAGCATCTCCAAGCACTTTGGTGGGTCTCCCAACAAGAAGGGGGTTAATATGTCCCAGGAAAGCACCCAACTGGAAGCCATGAATCACGTTACTGGAGAGGAGGGGGAAGAAAGGCAAGAGGTGGGCAGTTTATTTTCCAAAAGTGGGCCAGAGTTAAATGAAGTGGTGACAGTTCGTTGGCTGAAAGTTTGACAAAGTAACACGTGCTGCCCGGGGATAAATAAGAAGACTTGAAGGAGGTGGTAGAGGACACCGACTTCATGCACAGTTCCAGGGTTGGAACATCCAGCTCTAGATTTTTAATGGTGCCCTCCCCAAATCCTAAGATTAAAAAACGGGCTGGGTTCCAAACCCCAATTCGGTGTCCCTTCTACTTCCTGCTTTGCAAGAGAAAAAGGGAGCCAAAGAAAGGGATCTCCCCACTTAGGAAATGCATAGCCGCTTCCGCTTAAATGTTGGGTGAAAGTACAGGTAGTCCTTCTTGACTTACATCAGTTCATTTAGTGACCGTTCAAAGTTATTCCCCATGATCACGTGATTAAAATTCAGATGCTTGGCAAGGAGTTCATGCTTAGGACCTGTTGTGGTTTGCCGGCAGACAGCAGCAGAATTGGACAGTGGGGAAGAACGGGGATCAGTCCGGGAGTCTGGAGAGGACTCAGACAAGGCTCCTGCATCCAATGCCGAGATGAGGCCAGGACCATCTGAGAGTGAGTGCTGCCTCTGGAGCCTTCAGAGTCTGGCAGCAGCGAGGCAGAGAAACAAGGGGAGCCTGTTCCCAGTGTGTGTGTATGCGCAGAGCTGCTAAAAGGCGAGAGCAGCTGAAACAAAAGAGGTGACTTGGGAGTAAGGCTGGGAAGTGATTGCCCCTCCCATAAGGTATAAAGGACAAGCAAAGATGATGAAACCTTTGCAGGAAGCAAAGTCGTTCATTCAATTCAAATTCATTCTTGAAGCTCTTTGTACTTCGGTTGCTGTTTTTTTCCAGCTCATTTGATACTTCTGTTATTGGCAGCACTTCATGGAAGAGAAAGGTGGGTGCTTATCTTGAGGGACTGTTTGAAAATTCATTACCGGCTGGGAATGAAAACAATTCCCAACGTTGCAATAAAATAAGTCTTGTTTTTAAAATAAATGTGTGCGTAATTATGGTTTAGGAAGCCTTGGTCAGAACAGACCATTGCATGTCCTAAGGTCATGTGATTCCCTTTTGCGACCTTCTGAAAATGGGGAAGCCAGATTCACTTAACAACTGGATCACTAACTTATCAACTACAGTGATTCACTTAACTGTGGCAAAAAAGGTCGTAAAATGGGGCAAACTTACTTAACAAATGTCTCACTTAACAACAAAAATTTCAATTGTAGTTGTACGTTGTAAACTACCTGTAATGATATCAGAAGACGAGTGTTTCTCAACCTGAGCCACTTAAGATGGGTGGATTTCAATTCCCAGAATTCATGCCAGCTGGGGAATCCTGGGAGTTGAAGTCCACCCATCTTAAAGTGGCTCAGGTTGAAAAATGCTACGCTAGATTTTCCTTCTAAGAATTTTAAAACCTGGGCCTTGGGCTGCCTATCATGTTTTAAGAACGACCCAGATAACCATCTCATCAGTAGGCTGCGGTTTAGCTTTGCCAAGTTTATTAAGATGTTCCATTCTCAGAGCAATTGGGGTTTGCAATTCAGATCCCAGAAGGACTTTGACAAACATTCCAATTTTGTCATTCCAATTTCCTGCAAACCCTGGTGGGCCTCCTGCCAGCAGCCGCTCTATTCCCAGAGACCAAAAAGCTGCCTCATATTTCCCTCATTTCTATTTTTTGCAATTGGTTTTAAAGATACAATCCTATTTTCTGAAGCCCAGGGCAGACCAAATTTTATAACCCTATCTCAGATGAAACTGCCTTGTTAAAAAAATAAAGATAGTTTCCTTGACTTACGGCCACAATTGAGGCCAATTTTTTGTTACTAAACGAGACAGTCGCTAAGTGAGTTTTGCCCCATTTTACCAGCTTTCTCGCCACAGCAGTTAAAAGTGAATCATAGCAGTTTTTAAGTCAGTAACACTGTTATTAAGTGAATCTGGCTTCCTCATGGACTTTGCTTGTCACAAGGTCACCATGGGTGATCATTCGACCCTCTTAAATATGAACCAATTGCTGAGCATCCGAATTTTGGTCACATGATCATGGGGATGCTGCAACAGTCATAAGTGTGAAAAAAGGTCATAAGTCACTTTTTCAGTTGTGACTTTGAACAGTCACTGAACTAATGGTTATAAATCAAGGACTATTAGATGTTCTTTCAGGATCACCATATATGGTCCCATTAAAACCCTAAGCGTCCTAGCATACCTCCAGGTATGTAGAATCTGCTGAGACATACTATTTCTGAAGAGAAGGACTGGGGTGACATGATTAGCAGTGTTACAATATCTCAGGGGCTGCCACAAAGAAGAGGGAGTCAAGCTATTCTCCAAAGCATTTGAGGGCAGGACAAGAAGCAATGGGTGTAAACTAATCAAGGAGAGAAGCAACCGAGAACTAAGGAGGAATTTCCTGACAGAACAATTGATCAGTGGAACAACTTGCCTCCAGAAGTTGTGAATGCTCCAACACTGGATGTTTTTAAAAAGATGTTGGATCACAAATTTGTCTGAAGTGGTGTAGGGTTTCCTGCCTAGGCAGGAGGTTGGACTAGAAGACCTCCAAGGTCCCTTCCAACTCTGTTATTCTGACTATACTAGGAGACATTATTTCTTCAAAATTAAGTCCTGCAGGCTAACCTAATTTCAAAGTCTGTAAGGGGTGGTTTCTTTCTAATTCTGAGCCTTAGCAATTTTAAGAGATGTGGACTTCAAGACCCAGAATTCCTCAGCCAGCATGCTGCTCGCTGAGGAATTATGGGAGGTGAAGTCCGCATCTCTTAAA